ATTAATCCCTAATATTCCTCTTGGATAATATAAATGGATTGTGCTCCTTTGGGTCATTGTAAGATATGCTTTCAATCAGCCTTACAGCTCGTCACCCAACCTTCCTCAGTGTTACAACATGATTTTTAAGTGTTGACAGCTGAACTGGACTTGTTTTGTCTCATTAATGTCATGTATAGAGCTAATATGTTTTCCCTATCACTCAGTATTCCCATTTATACATCCTAGGGTCATATTAGCCCCTCTAACAAGAGCATTACACATGGAACTCTACTCAATTGCTTATCTGTTGTGACCTCTTAGGTAAACAGCCAAGAATAGCTTCCTGAATATTCCCTCTGTAACAACTCCCATGGGATCACTCTTCATTTGCAACTCCTCTTTGGAGACTTGTCATTTAACTCCTCATAATCCATTTTAAAAGTGCCATATTGATTTTTACAGTGCTACCATTCAGAACAAACTGAATGGCAGAATGCAACCCCCAGCATCGCTCTGATCTTCCCCAGGACCTATTTCCATGGAGATGCATGCCCACAGCTTCTGGTTCCCGACAGCAGCTCTGTGCCTTGGCTGGCAGTGAGGGTGCATACAGCCCCCCCCCAGCTCCTGTTTCTGGTGGAGGTCTGCTGCTGCTTCAAATCTATAATTGGAAGCACAGGAAACTGGAGCAAAAGCACCAGCCATGAGCTCTGAAACATCCAGAGAGGGTAAAATGGATTTGCAGCTAATGCTTCCAGAGATGGCAGAAGTGTTACTGCATGTTTAGATACCAATGCTTCTTGATGGTTTTCAGGGAATACTTTGAGACAACATCCTACACTCAGGAGGTCCCACACTAGCCTGTGGGGGATTATCAGTCTGAAAATCTCGTATAAATGCCCTGCTGCTAGTGCTTAAAACCACGCTGTTTTTAGAGTGGTTTTAATTTAACAGGGAGGGGTGTGTGACTGGTGACCCAAGAGAAATGCTGAAGGCTCAGGGTGGTCCTTGATCCAACGTGTTTGGATAATATTCCAGACAATCTTGGTTTTCCTGTCGGTTGCCAAATCCCTCGTGGGATTAGCAGAACACTGTCCAAAAGATTCATATTTTGAGATTAAGAGGCAGCTTTTTATGGGACTAATAACATGGAGAAAGAGGGGAAGCATGAAGAAAGACTAATTTCCCCTGCCTAATACTGTACGACTCATGGAAATGGAGGAGGGCAGAAGAGATGCTGCCTCAGGGTAAAATAAGCAGCTGTTGTCCCCAGGTGGAATTAAACAGCAGGAGCCCTGAATCCCACAGTTTCTCATGTTCCTGACAAAAGTTTTACCTGCCAAGAATTGCCAAAATCAGGCTGAGTCTGGGACCTAAGGGACACGGACAAAACCAAGCAGCATAACAGTACCCTCCATGCTCTGGATTAAAACTTAAACAGAGGTAGAAATACTCTGCAATGTCCCCAGAGTACTAAAATTTCTTGCTGTAATGACAACAGGCAGGGGCTTATCTGGCTTTCCTGCATGTGGGAGCGTTTCTGCTGTGCAAATCCTCGCAGCTGCACTTTTCATGTGGGGCAACTGTTGCAGCTAAGTAAAATTGTTAAAATGAGTTAATCAGCTTAGTACAATGTTTCCAATATTTTCCATGAAACAATTTGCCTCCCACATAGTCTGCTCTGTCCCATTTCACAGCGCGGAGGAGAACCAAGGCATCCCTCAGGCTGAGCATCCAGAGCTCAGCCCCAACCAGGCTCTCCTGTTTCGCCTGGGAAGTGCCAGAGCAGTGCTCAAGCTGAGACTTAGGATGTGCCCTGAAGTGCCTCATTTCTCTGCAATAAAACTCCCCCGTGAAGGAAAAGGAGCTTTCCTAATCCGCCCAGAGCTGTTGGTGGAGGCTGGCGGTGGCCACGCTCACTCCCTCAGCCTGCCCTCTGTAATGGATGGCTGAAGCTCCCGAGGCTTCAGCCAGCTGCTATAAAATGTTGCCTCTCTTCAGCTCATAATTGGGCTCAATAAAAATTTTTTGTTTTAACCCCTAATTCCAAGGCTTTTCTCTAGCCATCCCTAATTTTCTGATGGTTCCTAGTAAAGACCAGATGAAAGCCTGGAATTGTAGGGGTTGGGCTGACCCTGGTCCTGCAGGGTGCCACCCGTTTTGTGTCCTCAGGTCTCACTGAGTGCTGTGTTTGTCACTGTACAGCACAGGAACTGGGCTCTGGCTCACCCGGTGGCTTTGGATGGGAAGGTGGGACCGGTCCCTGCTGTCACCCCAGGCTCTGGCTCTGCAGCTGAACTGGCCACGGCAGGAGACGTGTCCCAGTTTCTCAGCTGACAGCCGGAGGTATTGACTTAAATGAGTCTGGAATTAGTCACAGCTACATAGTAGGAGGTTTTTTACCTAGAAGAGGTAGAAAATGAAGACGTAGTTCTATTTGAAATGTAAAGTAATGATAATTAACAGAGGTAACTCTCTGCTTCCCATTCAAGTCTTACCTGCAGGAAAATTGAACTGAGAAAGAGATCTTGGTAGACAACTGTCATACCACAAGGTCAGGATTGCTGATGGATGCTCTTCAAAGCTATTCCCCATCTCTTTTAAGCAGCTCCTTCAGCATCCCTATTCCTGAGAAGGATTTCTTTTTTTGTTCCTAGAAAGTGTCCAGTGTGCATCCTTGCTGCTGTTTTAGCCTGTTGTTCCATCACTGACACGGGGATGAAGTTAATCCCTGTGTTTCCCTAAAAAAGACCTGTAGCCATTTATTCTCTGGTTTATCTCCTCCCAAGACTAATGCCTCAGTGCCATTTATTAAAAGGAAAACACTTCTTTTTGACAGCATGTTTCTCACATGCAATAATCCAGTGTTGCCCATGTGATGCTAGTAACAGTAGAAGGCAAGAAATCACAACAGGTGCAGAAAAGCAAGAAGGCAATGACAAGGCAGTGACATGAATGAGACAAAGGAGTGCATAAAAGAGGAACAGACCTCAGACGGCCAGAGTGGGGTGATGTGACACCTCACCTGTGGAAATGTCACTGCACACACAGATCAGCACCTGAGGGCAGGAGAGGCGGGCATTGGAGAAGCAGGAGCTGGGGATGGCAACTTCTTGTCTCCCAGGTGTCTCTTTTGTACCACAGTGCCCAGCCTGTTCAAATCAATCCCACGTGTAATAACACAGCCTTCTTGGAAGACTTGCAGTTCCTCTGTTGACTTTCAAGGTTTAACAGTGACAGGTAAAAGTTCTACAGTAAGGAGATGGGACATGAAGAGACGATGTGGGGAACATGTCCTTTCACAAGCAGCAGGTCAACAGTGGGACTGGGAGCATCACGTGTTTCTAGGGTTGCACTTCACCCACTGGACTTCAGTATGGATTAAGGATATGTGCTCATATCAGAAGGCTTTGCTCAAATGAGCACAGATCTGCTCTGCTAACATGATCTTAGTTCAAGAACACAATTTTTGGACAGGGACATGGCATTGAGCCCAAGGGTCCTAAGCTAAAACTTAAGGCATCATTCCAAGCAGCAAAACCTGGGGTGTAACCCCTGATAGATGCTCAGGTAAGGCAAGCTTTGATGGATCCATGGGATGCTCATGGGTGTAACACGAGGTCATGCAAGTTTCACCAAGGACTGATTGTCACTGGAAGGAAAAAGACCAGGAAAAATGAACTGTACAACTCTAGTGTTGCTCCATTGATGGCTTCTGAGTAACACTTGTGCAAAAAGAAACTGCAACCCCATCCCCAAGATTTGTAATGCTAAACTCATACAAGCACAATTGGAAACGCCTTGTCCACAGCTTCAACTTTTTCACTGTCACCAGGGAAAAATATTTCATGATCATGACAGCTGCTGTTTCATTACAAAGCAGATGTGGTTTAGGTGGCATACTGTTTATAAGAAATAATCCTAGTGTGCAGCACACAGAGTATGGCAGCATTGTAACCCCTAGGGAGACCTTGATGGTGAAAAGGGTATGTGGCATAGTAACGTTTTTTTAACTTGTATTGTTCTAATTTCCCTCAGCCCCAAGAAGTGACATGCACAGATCTGTTCAAAAACAGAGCTTTCCCTGCTAACATATTCTCCTTGCTGACACGGTTTATAGAGTAAAAAGCTTTTTAAAGATGTAAACAAATTTTAGGAAATTGCAGTCCCATAATGAGATGTTAAAAAACCCCACATGAGTTACAATTTTTTTTAGATGACAAGTTATCTTGACTTTGTCAGTTATAGCTTACACTGTGTAATTTTGTTCTACTGTTTTCTATTAATCCAGTGTTTTGTGTTTGACCAAAACATGTCATCAGTCTCTACCTTATAAATGTGAGAATATTCAGAACTATGGCAGAAAGAAAAAAAACACATATATGGAAGAGCATAATATCACGCTGGAATTTCATCATTTCAGCATTTTTGTGAAAACTACCTAATCCATTGACTTTTAAATTGTTCCCATGCCATAAATACTGAGAATTAATGGGGCGGGTGGGATGGAAGTGAAATGCCTCACAGCATAAACAGTTTTAGTACCTGCTTCTTTTGCAGTTTAGTCCCCATAGAGGATGCTTCACTGCTGACAAGGGCATTCCCCAAGCCTTGAGAAATAAGGGCAGTGAAAGGAGAATTCTTCCTCACGGTGGGCAGTGTCTGCTCCCTGTGTTTTCACTAAAACAAAAATCATAAGAGTTGGTCTGGATTCACACCCAAACCCTGCCCAGCAGAGCAGAGTCCTTTGCTCAGGTAGCAGCTGTGATGTGCTGCATTTAGGCAATCCCTGCACCCATGCAGCAAATCACTGCACAGACCCAGGGACCACGGCTGGGGAAGGAGATTTGCAGGTGGGCAAAAGGCTCTGCCCACCTTCAGGTGCTGGAAACTACCTGAATGAGAACGCTCAGACTGTCAGGTGAGAGTTGTTGCCAGAAAAAAAAAACCTCTGTTTTTTTCCCCCTCCTGTTCATGACCTGGATCAAGCTTCACCTTATTTAAATCAGACTAAATACTTTTACTGTATAATAAAAATTCCATGTTTTAATACATTGCCATGCACAAATGAAGTCAAACAATGCAGAGTACAAAATTGTCAAATATACAAAATGATAAAGCAGATACCCAAAGCTTCCAGAGATCATGCCCAAAGATACCAAAAACTTGATATTGGTTTTAATTTTATTGTTTAAAATAACTCCTCCCTCCCGCCCGGGCTTTATTTTCTGTTGATTTTTGAAAACAGAAGGAAGTAAAGACTGAATATAAAAACTGTAAGGTGGAATTAAGTGATGGCCACTTTGTATACTAAGAATTAGTTTGCATGATAATTTCTGTTTTGGGAAAAAAGCACTGCTGTGCAGCTGAACACCTTGGATGCCTGGGGAAATGCAGTATACATCAAACAAAAAGGCACACTTTTGTCTCATGCCGCCTCATTTGGCTCCATCATCAAAAAGTTCAGCCATAGATGTACTGGGAATAACTGTGCCACTTTATAAGCATTAGAGTGCTGGCATTTTCCTAGATTATCAACCAAGTTAACATTAAAAGGAGATCATTGGCTTAAAGTATTTCCTTAGTGAATCTAAACCAGAATTGAGTCCAAAGGCAGCAGGACCAGACACAACTTGCTGGCTTCAGGTGACTGTTTTGACCACAGCTAAGGGCTTGCAGTCAGCCTTTCTGCATCCCACTGCCCTGCATCAGGTGACCAGATCTCCCAGGACCTTGATCCCAGCCTCCCTCTCACTCCCTGCAGCTCCTGTCCATCATCAGTGGCTGATGGGGATGCACCAGCACAGCCTGGGATCTGATTCTGTCCATGGACTCCTTTTTGGAGACAAATCAAGTGCAACTGCAATTCCAGATGTCAGCTGCCTGTTTTCCTCAAGGTCATGTTCAAACAACCTTAAATTCAACTCCCCAAAACAGAGGACCCCAAATTTAGAGTCCCCTTTGCTGGTTTATGGTGTGCAGAGCCAGGTAGGCATTCCTCCCATCCTACCCAAACAGTGAAAAAGAAACAGGTCTAGGTAGCTGCAGTCCCTACAGGGAACTGAAAGCAAAGCCCAGCATATCCCAAAGTACTGCCCTGCCACTTTCAGATTCTGCAATATCTGTGAGAAATTTAAAAATACATGTCGTAGCCTTGCCAAGCATCTCTGCAGCAAAGCAAAGGAGTCTTCTCCTCAGAGGACACAGACTCTTTGGGGAACTGCTGGTCATTCCCATCGCCAGGGTACTGTCCAGTCCTGCCAGGAAATGTCTCCTGCCATGGCTGCAGGAGCCACCCAGCACAGACAGAACACTGTGCTCTGCCTGTGGGTTAGCCTGACATGGCTCCATTCCTCCCCTTGGTCAGTGGTGTTGGATCCAAGGGAGAAGGATGAGATGTGACTCTCATGCTGAGATGCTTTGCATAGGCTGGAAGCTCCTGTCCCTCTGTGCTTTTTCTACTGTCACTTAATCTCTTTTCCACCTTTCTCAGAAGTGCAAAGAAGGAGCCTCTTACATACAAGGGAAGCAGACAAAGTGCTAAAAGGACTCCAAACATTTATTTATGTATCTGGTCTTGAGACCAAAGCTTGGCTCTGTAAGGAAAACTGCCTAGATGTAAAGCCACCCTCTCAATATTGAAAAAAACCCAACCAACTGAGCAAGTTCCCTAAGCATCTGATGGGACAATTTGAGGTTTTTCTTCCTTCCCTGCACAGTTTCTTATTGCTTACATGCAGTTTTGCTGCAATACCAATCTCTCTGCTTTAAAAAAACCCCCTGTGTTTTGCTATTTAATTTGGCGACTTACGATATTAAATAGATAAATTCAAGGCAAATACTTAATAGAAGGAATGTGATTAGAGGTGTAACAACTACAGAGAATTTTTTTTTTCTGAGAAACTATTTAGATATATTTGGAATTAGTATCAGAAAGGAGCTTTTCATTTCCTTCTTAGACTGAGCCTGGTCTGAGCCTGAGCTCAGATAATGCTGTCAGTCCTACTCTTATGGCAGAAGCAGATATTACAGTCATGTGCCAGTTCAGGTTTGCTCCTGCCCGGCTGGCCCCAGGCATGCCTGTCACAGAATGCTCTCCTCCAGAGCTGCAAGATGTCTCATACCAATCTGCAGTAAGTATTGCTTTTATAGTTTCCCTTGTTTGTGTGAGCTGTTTACTCTTTAGACCACACAAGCCAGTTAGTGCTTTCCCCACCACTTGATGAAGCACATGGAAGATGACTCCAATGGTTCACACTTGCCTTGTGCACATCAACAGCAGTTTTGTGAAATCTGCATCAGACACTGAGTACTCCTTTGTTTATTTCTGAAGGACAACATTCAAACCAGCCAATGGTAACAGGACCAATCTGGCAAAAAACCACAGCTGGGAGCAGCTGTCATTTCTCTGGGTAATCTCACTGATGTAATTTCACTTCCAGGGTTTTATTAACCAGCTCCAGTGGGGCTCATCATAAGAGCAAAAGTTTTGCTGTCTTTGAAGCAAGGAACTTGTGTACCATGCTCAGCTGCACAGTGATACAATCGCCCTCTCCATCAGCACTGCAGCTTCTCTGCCAGTTCTTGCAGGCAGGAAAATCTGTTTCTTGCCAGCAAGATGTTACCTCTTAAGAGGCAAATCCACAGCTGTTATCCCTTGCTTTGACTACACATCCACATGGCCCCATCATTTGCATGCAGCATTTTGTCCCAGACTGCTATCAATGAAAGGCTACAGACTCTTGGAATATCCAAGGGTTTTGTTGTCCTTTCTTATCCAGTTCTCTTCCTCAGTTATGTGCAGCAGAACCTTACAGCTGTGAGCAGACCTACTGATGCTCATACCAAATGCACAGCTTTCCACAGAAGCTGTTTAAATTAATATCATTTTGTGAAAAAAGGATATAGATGGCCCTGCCTACCTGTAATATTGGAAACTTCAGGATATTTTTAATTCAGAAGTTTACATCTGATGATCTAGTCTAATCCTTGCATAATACATGCCTAATAACTTCATCCAGTAATTGCTGCACCGAGCCTGGATTTCAGTTTGAGGTAGAGCTTATTGACTTATAAAAATACTCTGCATACTTTAAAGACTTCATGTGATGGAGAACATACCAGGTAACTAAGTTGTCTCCATGGGTAATCATCCTCCCTGTTGAGTATTTGCACCTAATTTCTAGCCTGAAATCAGTTTCCAACCAGTAGAGCACATCATTCCCTTTTCTTCTAAACATAAGAGCTACCTGCTTTCAGACAGCACTTCCCTGCCCAGGTAGAAGATTGTGATTGCAGACAGAGATCAAGTCACCTCTTCAAATTGCCTCTGATAAATAAATAGCTTGAGCTTCATTAGTCTGACACTATAATAAGACCTGTTTTCCTGCCCTTGAATGACACTGGGAACTATTGAAAATAATCTTTCCAAGTTGTCAATATCTTTTTTGAAAGACTGACAGTGACCAAATAAACTGGAATGGCACCACTATTGCCAGGTCCTACATCCCAGCTGGCAAGAGAATCTCTGGGGCTGATGCTGAAGAGATAATTTATGACACCTTCACAGCCACTGTATTATTGCAGACATACTCCCCATGCTTCTAAGTTGGACTTGCTGCCACCTCTCCTGGATTTTTAACTTTTCTGTCCTCCAGGCTGTTCTCCACCACTAACCTGCTCAGATCATTATTTATTGTGCCCCTGTCATCTCTGGCTGTTGCCAACAATAATTTTCTCTTTCCCTGGGGGGTATATTGAAAATAGAGCATACCTTGGGAGGTGCTGATCAGAAATAGTCTCACTGAGGATAATTAATATTTACAGCTATTTTTTGTGATCTAGCCTGTAATCCATTTTTAATCAATTTAATATGGATGATATTTGTTTTGCATTGTGCTATTTTGTTCTTTATCAGAATCAAATGCTCTATAGGAGGCTAAGTATAGTATGCCAGCAGAGCTTCTTTTCTCAACAATCCTTTGACATCACAAAAATAACAGCAAGTTTATTTGGCATGATACAGTTCTATAAAAATAATATGGAGGGTTTTATCAATTTTCAATTGCTCTAATGATTATGGCATATCAACTTTTCCATGATAGGAAGCTGATGACTCTATAGTTTTCTGGACCAAACCACTCATTCTTTTGAACTATTGTGGGTCAGGTGTCATTTGAAGCTTCCTTTATGCTTTCTGGTTCTGAGAAGTCCTAGGCAATATTTTCCTTCACTTTTGGATTCAGTTAAAGGTTCTACAAATTTAAAATTATGTTTGGATAGTTACTGCTTAATATTACCTGCAATTACTGATGGAGTAGGAGGAATTACATTTTAATGTGTAATCTAACTCCCTCCTTCCACTGCTTTCAAATACAAAACAAGACTATTTGTTGGGTTTTCAGTGTAGTGTGAGCAATCTCTGTGCTGGGTCTGTCTAACATCACACTTACCTTTGCTCTGACGGTATTTATTAGGATATATGTAAAGTCTTTGGTGTAACCAGCCCTAACCTATTTGCCACTGACTTCCCATACATTTTTGGCTTCCTTCATTAAGCATCTACTTTCCTTACTTGCTGATTTATCCTCATGAGCCTGCCCAATCACCCATACATTATGTTGGTGGTTTTTTTTGCACTCCAGATTACTTTCCTGAATTTTACTATAGGAGGTTGCAGGTAATGCTGGTAATATTTTCCCCTCAGCCATCAATCGTAATTATACCAAAGGACCCTCTCTTTTTAAATTAAAATCTTCTTGACAGCCTATACATACCAGGGTGAATTGCAGTCCTGCAGCAGAGCTGTTCAAAGAGACTCTGATGGCAGAGATGGTAAAGAGGACCAATGTGAAAGATACTGGGTTTTACTTTGTTTTATTTTGAATAATGCAGATCTTTTGGCTTTGTGGCAGGTGGAGAGAGGTTCATTTTAGTGATCACAAAAAACTATCATCTTGATGCTGGCTCTTTGGCTGGCACTAATCAACACATCTCTGGAGATTGTGATGGAGTAGTGCCAGTGGAGTCTGCCAGGGTCTGGCACAGGGTCTTCTGAAAATTCAGGGCAAACCCAGAATTTTGTAATTTTGAATGGTTTCATTTCCTCAATGACATTGCAGCTGCAGTTGAGTGACAACACTTACCCTACAGAAGAGACAGGGAGAGGTGGACTCACTAGTACAGCATTGCCATGCATCTGGACAAACAAAACCAAAGAGCTCATGAAGGTTTTTCAGAGTCCCCTCCTGGAAGGCTGTCTTTCCCTAAACAGAATAAATGGCAGGTGTTCAGGCACAGAAAGCCACTCAGATGAAAAAAATGGGGAACAAAACAGTGTAAAGGATGATCTCAGCTGCAGTGTGCTCTCTGGGGTGAGCAATTCCTTCAGGTTTCTAGTGGAGGACTCCTCATGGTGCAAAGCATTTGGAATGGCTGAGTTTCTGACAGGGATTCTTTGTGGGGTCTGATGCTGCAGCCTGGACACAGAGAAACCAGGTGAGTGTGGCAGCAGGGGGAGGCTCTGGGCTGGGAGGAAGGCTGCAGGTCTGCACAGGGAGCAGGGTCCTGGTCACAACCCTGCCTTGTCTCAGAGATAATAACTGGTGATCAATGTAACAGCAGTATGGCCTTTATGAATTTATCTATCTCCACAGGCTGATAATGGCTGCTTTATGAAAACAGCATTAGCCTTCCACTCTTTTGCAGAGAACTAATGGCTCTGAGCATATTTAAATTCACTTCCTTTGCCGGAATAACTTATTTGCTCCCTTTCATGTTGACTTGGTCTTTGGCACTCTCGACATAAATGATTTATTGACTAGAGATAAAGCATTCTTTCCCCTGAACTGTTCCTGCGACCCAGGCAAAAGCGGATATGTCTGCTATTAATAAGGTGTTCGGCATAAAAAATGCAATAGGCTTGATTGTCTGCACTCAACAGCCTTTCCGAGAACACAGTACCTGCCTCATTCATAAGAACAAAAATCTCTCCCACACGTTTATTTATATTAAAAACTTTTCAGAAGAATACGCTGGGATTCAGATAGTCATTCAGGAGATGTAGAACAATTTCATAAATATCCCTGAGGAAGCATGGCCTACTTTGGGAGAATAACAATGATTAAAAAAATCCAAACACAATGAATAGTTAAATACAAGCCAAAAAGTACAGTTATTTCCTTATGGCTCTGGCAGACAGTTACACACGTGAGAAGTGTCACGGGGCTCGGGGGAGCTATGCCTGCAGTTATCCACATGCATAGGCTGGCTGCAGGATGGAGACCCACACCAGCTTCAAGGGAGGTTTGTCTGATAGGCACCTACAGCAGACTTCTCTCTGAGTCTGGCTACTCAAGGGTCTGGACTTGATTTTCACATTTCTCAGGGCCTATAACACTGCTTTTCTAGGTCACCATAGCTAAAATCCTGGGAAGCTTTTAAAACAAACTGTTTTAACAGGAGAAGTGCACACATCTAAATTCATGCCCATATACTGGAAGATGTTCAAAACTAACATTGATACAAAAAAGGCTTCTAGTGGCTCTCTGCCACGCAACTTCTTCTCATACACCCTTTTAAGATAACACTCTCTGATAAACTCTTCTTTTATCATTCAAATTAGTCTGGATTTTTTCACTGGGTAGTAAAATAAGAGAACTCCTACTGTAGAAGTATAGCATTCTCCTTTTAATTTAACATATCAATTAAAGTATTCTGTTTTTAATTGCTTTACCAACATGAAATTGATGTCAGTTGTCAGAGTGCGTTTTTAAAACCTGTAGCAGAAAGAGCTGTAAAATTTGCTGAAGCTTACAGTGGACCTGTGCCATGCACATGGCCGGCTCTGTTGGTATCAGATTCCAACCTGCAACCCTATGAAAAGCTCTAAAAAGTGCAAATGTTGCAATTGGCAAAGATCCTTATGTTTTAAGGAGAATTTTTACACCGATTAATTTGAAATTAGGGACTAGGATTTTCAGAAAGAAAATGTAGAAGCTTAGTGCTCTGTAATTCTTGGGAGCTCCATTTGAGAATCCACGGAAAGACCCAAACCATTAAAAATCACTAGCAACTTCTGAAAATCTTTGTCACCAGTAAAAATAATTTGCTTTTGGACTGAATACTATAGAAGTATCCACTATGCTGAATCTGAGATGGGTGGAGAGCTGAAACCTAAGCCCGTAACCATCTAAAAAAAAATTAAACCCTGAAGATAATTATCTGTTTGTTGTACAGGCACCCTCAGTGGTTGACCTTCCATTCTCTAGAAATGAACTGCACAATAATTTTTAAGAATTATAACACAGGAGCTTCTCCCAGAAAGGTACCTGTGACTTACTCTAGCTGCACATTCTCTCCATCACTGCATCTTCACACAGAATTATCTCACCCAGAGTTTGGAATAAATGCTAACAGCAGCTCTAGAGTATCTGTTTATCAGGCTGGAGAGAGTGACAGTCTTTAAGTACACAAAAAAGCTACCTTTGATTTTAAGAAAAGAAGGAACAAAGAGGTAAGCCCACTCAGTATGTTTATGATATCAGTTCATTATAAAGTGTGCTGAGAAGGTCCTGATGTAAGGGACAGACACAAATTCCACTGAGTCCCCATGGAAGAAACAGTACCACAGCCAGCTGTGATACAACCAGTGATGAGGTCAGCCATTCAGAGACTGAACAAAAAACAAAGTTCAGATTGAATGCAACAGTCTTGAGCCTGCTACAGTATATTGAAAGGCTTATTGGAACCATTTGCTTATTCCCAGTTCCTACCAAAATACTGTTTTCAGTAGAAAGTGGAAAAAGTTAATGAAGAAATCTGCCCTCTCCAAAGGGAGTGTCTTGCTCCTTAGAAGTATAGTCTTACACTTTACCTTTTTAGAGAGTTTGGTTTGGACTACAATTTCCCAGCCCTGCCCAAAACATAAGTGGTGGCCAGCATAAAGAACCTGAATTCTTCCAGTTTATTCTGGTTTTACTGCAGACCAAACCCAGGGTCACATACATGTCTGAGAAAGGCTCTCTCCCTCGCTGAGTTAGAAAACACGCTGGCACACCAGAAACGAGACCCTGTGATATTTGGTGGGTGAGAGGGAGAGCAGACACAGCATCCTACAGCTCATTCAAACTACCCTGTTCCTGGCTACCTCTGTGACAGCTGTTCTCTAAGTTTTGATAAAAGAAGTCACATCTCTGCCACGTGCAAATCTATCTACACAACCTACTGTGAGTCAGTGAAGGGATGCTAGTACAGGGCTTCAGTTTGGATGCAGTCTCAGCACAAACACTGAAACATATCCTCAGTATTTTAAAAAAAGGACCATTATATATATATGGACTGTGCTAGTTCTGTGAGAAAAGCACATATGAAGTGCTGATATTGTTTAACAGAATACCATTAGACTGCAAAACTAACACATACAAGACGTCTACATTCCTATCAGGGTGTAATATTGTGAACATATCCACTGAGATTGGAGAATTGTTGTAAGTTTTTCCTAAAACATCATGCCATCTGCATACATAATAAAAGAATCCAGTAGTTGCCATGCTAAAACAGGACTTCTAGTGAAGGGCATAGACAGTCCCCTAAAGGGAACTCAAAAGTTATGCACAGTGATGAAGACTGGAAGAAATTTTCCAGCTAAAGGTCTGTCAATGACCATTTTCAACAAATTAGATATTTTGGATATTTTGCACCACATATTTACTCCACAGCAAACCAGGTCTCCCCAGAATGTATCAGCTGAGTGGGCTGATTTTGCTCCAAGTTTGTCTTCAATCCTCCATGGTCATCTTCTGGCAGCGCCATTTATTGTTTTCGTGAAGGAAAGTTCACTTTCATATCAAGTGGCAGGACAGCAGCTTTAGAGGCTGGAAATGTTTATGGAGAGCTCTCTGCTGGGGCTGTGAGAAACAAAACAGAAATCCAAAACCAGACTGTGAGTATAGAACAGAGTAAAGAAATTATCAAGCATTTCAACTAAAATTGAAAAAATTAGGTCTGAGCTTAGTAAATGTACTCAGAGAATATATATTGTGACCGTAGTACTTTTTTTAATCAACTTTACTCACCAACCAAAAAAACTCTTAATCAATTCCTTAGATAAAGTGCAGACCAGCAAACATTTGCATGATTTAACAAATCCTACTTGAATTTTATTGCCTCATGTAAAAGCACTGCTTATTCTTACTGTAGTCTGAGTCCCAGAGAGCAGGGCTCTTCTGTTTTGTTGGATTTGCATTAACTATTGAAGGCTTGATAACCAAATGCTGGAAAAGCTCTGCCAAATGCCCAAGTAGTGTTCGATGTTCCTGCACCCTTCCTGCTGTCTGAGATGGTAAGAACTGCCATTGCTGCATAGATGTGAAAACAGCTCACCCATATCCTTCCCCTCCTCAGACCCCATATGATAATGAGGAGGTTGCAGAGTTTCTCTTTTCCCTGCTAAGCAGTACAGCACACTTGATGCTGGTGGCTGCTATTCTGTGCCTGAAAGCCCTTGCAAAGGTCACAGCCATCATACCATAAAGGAAGAGAATATGGAGGTTATTTGTAACTTCTCCCCTTCACCCAAATTTTTCTTTGAGTAGCACAGCAAAAGGACAAGAAGCAACAAGAGATATTCCAGTTAGATGCAAGGAAAAAAATCTTCCAAGTGAGGATGGTTACCTTTTGTCTGACCAGGCTGTGGGACCTCCACCTACACAGAGATCTGCAGCTCAACCAGATGAGTCCCCACACAGCCTGACGTGGCCCTGCTTTGAGCAGAGTTTACTGGAACCATCTCCTGAAGCCTCTTCCAACCTAAATATTTTTAAGCTTGTACATTTTCTGGTGGGGATTTGTGCTCCTTGTTCTGCTTTTCTGAACAGATGAGTGGCTGTGCAGAACTGCTCACACTGAAGCACATTCAGTTGTTAATTCAGTCTGTAGCACATAAATGTTTGTAAACCCATCACAGGCTCAAGTTTCTGGGGCTGAGGAGCTATGCAGAGACAAGTTCACTGATTATTTAATGGAATCACAGAATCATTTAGGTTGGAAAATACCTTTATGATCATTGAGTCCAAGTGTTAACCCAGCACTGCCAGGGCCACCACCAAAACGTTTTGGGATGCAGCTTTGTTTATCACACAGCCCTCACCCATCACCTGTTTTATGGACCAGATCTCTGACCAGGCAGTGCTGGGATGGGACTCACCAGGATGGGCTTTGCACCCTCTCCAGCTGATATCCTGCTTCTTTCATGAATGCATGTATCTGTGTGAGTGGGAAGAGCTGGATTGTTGGGGTTTTGGGGCCAGAATCCTAACTGTGAAGCTAACAGGATACTGATGCTGCCAAGGCAGCATTCACATCAGCTGAAACTCAGGCTGGCAGTGGATTTCTGCTTCTCACTCCTTCAAAATCATTGCTGGTAGGCTCTTCTCTGTGGGGTGTGGGGTGTGGGCTGACTGACTCTGCCAAGTTGTCACTTTGCCCATATTTGCCTCTTCCAGCCCTACACTCTTGTAGCAATGGACATGCAGGTCTGATTGAACAGAGAAAAGATGGGATGATAGACCAGCAGGTATTACACAAGACTAAAAAAACCACCCAGTCCCTGCCATGAGCAGTTGACCCCTAAGTGTAAATATGCCCTATGAAATAGAGGAACAGTAAAAAACAGTTTCCTTAACTATGTCCCTCTTTATGTGGGCATTTTTACCTGATTACGGTGCTACTCTTGATTTCTGTTTTTATAGCTGCTTTTATCCTCCAGGTTCTCTAGGCAATGTTCCGAACACCACTTACTGTCATCTACTACATCATCAGTAGTGGCCTGAGAAAGATGCACATTTCAGACCCAGCAACTGGTTTCACTCCACGGAAGAACAGGAAGGTTTTGAGCCTTCAGCTGGTCTAGACAGATAACTGACTGCATCCCCAAGACACAAAAGAAAGCAACGGTGACATAAGCAGTTTTGAAGACAAAGGGCAAATCTATGGGGAGGTTTTAAAACTGGAGAGCAGCAAACAGGTACTTAATCTCAAAAGTGTTTAATTTCAGATGACTTAGATGTCTCCCATCTGTGTAGCATCAATAGAGACAGGCCTGTCTCTTTTTTTGAGCTTATCTGCTGCAAAGAAGGGAAAATTTCAAAAGCTCTCGCAAGCAATGCCTAGCCACAGAGTTGGAGGACTAAAATAAAACGGGTAAACTGGCTAATTATATCAGGTCAGGCCTCAGGACTGCACTCATGCTGAAATTCCCCAATCATCCCCATTGTCTCAGTCATTAGCTTCTACTTGTACTTAAGTCTGAAATGAGCCAGCTGGCCCTTCAGACAGAAACCCATGAATGAGGAGAAATTGAACTGATCCCAACCTGAGCTCCATCCACACCACAGAGGGAGCACAACCACTTGGAGCCATGCAGAGGTGTCTGGATACGACTGGCAACACTGAGCCAGCAGACAGTAGAAGTTCTGTCAAGCTCTGCATTTAGAGAAAGCAAACTCAGGCTTTAGTGGTCACCTAGCCTATTTCTTCTCCTCTCACTTTGTCTTTTGAGGACAGAGTTTTAGAAGCACCTACTCTTCCTCATTATCTGCATAATTTTTTTGTGCCCAGCTGGAGGCTCTTCTAAGGACCCTGGTTTAGTAACAGTACATACCCAGTGTTTACTGAAAGGAAAGATCTTTATAAAAGGTATCACAAATGAGCAGTTGCCTTTGAAAACCCTGCCTGAGACAGTAAGCTCTCAAAACAAAGATAGCCCTTTGCAGGGGGTGTATATGCTTACCAACACAACAGTGAACAGATCTAATCTCACATGACATTTTCAAGAAGCTGATGTAGAAAAACAACTGTCATTTCAAAGCCAGAGATATATTTCAGTTTTTGAGTACCTGTGCTGTGTGATTTTTGTCTGAGAAAGGGACGTATTTTACATTCATTTTAAACACGTTAATTCACCTCAACCTAGAGGTATTACCTATTTGTCACATTTCCATAATTGAGGGATTCTGATAAAGAAAACAAGCATCTATTATCTTTGCTAGGTTTACTCTCCTGGAACTAATTTTATACTATATTTCCAAAGTCAGCACATTTCAAACACAGGATTATAATGAAAAATGCCTATTTCCAAACAACCTTCTGCCATCTATTCCTTGGAGTCTGTGAAAAACTGCATTCAGCTACATTTAGTAGTACTTTTCCTGTGTTAGAAAGGCCATAGGTACCTGACTTCACATCTCATGTCACTTGAGACATTATAATATGCTGTACATTATTGTGGACTTGCTGCATCTTGCTATTAACTAATTAGAGTTCATACAACTGTCGAATGATTAGGGTTAGGAGGGACCTTTAAAATAATTTAATTCCAACTCCCCTGCCAAGGGCAGGGAACCTTCCACTAGACCAGGTTACTCAGACCCCATCCAGCCTGGCCTTGGACACTGCCAGGGATGGGGCATCCACAGATTCTCTGGGAAACCTGCGCCAGTGCCTCACTACCCTCACAGTACAGAACATCTTCCTCAGACCTTATTTAAACCTGCTCTTTTCAGTTTAAGGCTCCTTGTCCTGTCACACCATTGTGTAAAGTCCCTCTCTAGCATCACTGTATCCCCCTTTAAGGTAATGGAAGGTGCTATAAGGTCTCCCTGAAGTTTCCTCTTTTCCAGGCTGAACAGCCCCAGCTCAGCCTGTCTTCATGGGAAGGTGTTTCAGCCCCACGATCAGTTTAATCGTTCTCCTCCAGACTCATTCCAAAAGGTCCATGTCCTTCTTGTACTGAGGACTCCACAGCTGGACACAGTACTGCAGACAGTGTGTGTGTCCAGCTCTGGGGCCCCAACAGATACCATCACCATTGAAGAGTTTTGGAGACTGATAAAAGAAAATGCCTGGAAGCCCATTCATAGATTCACCCTTTTCTTGACTGTGCATTGAATTACTATTAACACTGAGGTGTGAGAGAATATCACAGGTATCTCTGTAAGGCTCGTGGAAGTTCATGTAAAAAGAAATTACCTTCTTGGGGAGCTGCTGATGCCAGTCAGTCACTATGGTGGAAGGAGAATTGGCAGAGGCTGGGAAGTGCTGCCATGGGGCAGCCTTGGCAGAGACAGGAACCATTTACCCCTGTACTTTACAAGTGAAGTTGTACCTGCATTTGATTTCACTTTATCACAAAGCCATCCTCTTCCTGCTCTGGGTGGTTCTTTTAACCTGTAGGTAAACGCAGCTATTGCTGCACATCATCATTACCCAACAGGTCACTGATAACCAGAGTCAACAATGCCAGAGATCCAAGGTTACCTCAAACAATTGCAGGTGTGGAGTCAGCTGGAGCCAGCATGGAGGGGTGGCCAAGCACGGCCCCCCAGCCCTGTCCATCCACCCACCGACCCCTCCTCCCATCGGAGCAGCTCCGCCTTGCCCAGGCTGCAAGTCAAGCCTCAGGGCTGCACAGAGACAGTGCCACAGCCCTGCAGCCTGTGCTAAAGTGACACATTCATCTAGGCACTGAATGCAGCACCCAGCAGCCGAGAAAATACAGACATGTGGATGCTTTTTGATAAAGCTGCCAATTCTGTTTTGATTCCCAACCAGTCATGTCTTGGTCTGACTTGCCTGATTTTCCCCTCATTATTAAAAACTCTTAACTGATACAGTCTTGAAAGTAATTTAGTGTTGTTTGTCAAATGCAGTTGTTAATATGGTGGAAAAATACCAAGGGGGAAAGGAAGGAAGTATTGTCTTACTTCGATTTTTTAATTTGGTTGCCAAGAAGGAAACCAATACTTTGGTTTTGGAGTACCTTGACAGAAAAGGTGGGTCTGTGAGCACAACACCTAGAGCATCTAACACAGTAATACTAGTCCCAAGCATTTGATATTTTTCAATGAAT